CTTGTGGTACACCTAGGGGGATCGGATAGCCTGTTAGCAATGTAAATAAGGTACATGGCACCCTTGTGTGGGTTGGACCATGGAAATAAGGTGTACAGAACCCAAACATGGGATTAGTCAGTTTTACCATTCTGCTAGCTTAAAATGAGCCAACCCAGAGGCAGAAAGGGTGCATTACACTGCTATCAAGAGAAGATCCAGGAATGGAGTGTATCCTTGGACCCAAGATCCATGCACTAAGATGGCAGAGAGACAGTGAGTAGCAGAAGAGGCAGCAGAACCAAGAAACTGGCATGATACAGAGAAAAGGCTTCACGGTCCATGGAATGAGAAAGCTGAGTGCCTTTGGGCAGGAGGCTTACTGGTAGAGTAGGTTGCCTCTCTGGGCTGATCACCAAAGGTAAAAGAGCTTTGTAACATCTGCACAAGCAAGGCAGAGGCCAAGGCCAGAGAGAATGGTGCCTGCGGCATGGCTGAGAAGCTGTCTTGATTGAAGAACTGTATCTGAGTTGTTTTTGATCCTGAATTGTAAGCTGTTACTTCCCTAATAAACCCCATAATTTTGAGTATTGTGTGTGAGTCCTGTGTGGCCATTGCAAAGCACTACTGAACCCAGAAGGGACCATTTCCTGGAGAAGGATCTCATGCTTGGTAAGATGGAGGGTCAATGAAAGAGGGGAAGGCCTTCAACGAGATGGATTGACACAGTGGCTACAACAATGGGCTCAGGTATAGCAAGGATCATGGAGCTGGCGTGGGATTGGGCAATGTTTCGTTCTGCTGTGCATGGGGTCACTATGAGTCGGAAACGACTCGATGGCACCTAACAACAACAACAACACTGAACCCAGCAGAGAAGTAGAATGCCGTGAGAGGGATGGTTGGTGTTAGAATTGGTAAAAAAATAAAAAAAAAGAAAGAAAGAAAGTAAAAGAAATAAAAGTAAAAATGATGGAGGGTGGTGGCATGTCTGACTTCCACCTCATAGGAATCAGCCTTGGGCTGATGCTGCTGACAGTGATTCTGTTTCCCCCTTGTGAAGTCACAGGAGGTCAGAAGATACTATCTCTGCACCCTTTCTGCAGACAATGTCTTTGAGATTTATTCATGTTGTTGCATGTATTAGTAATTCATTCTTTTTCTACTGTTGTATAGCATTGTTGTATGAATAAATCAAATTTCTTTATCCATTTTACTATTAATGGACATTTGTGTTGTCACAGGCTATTAGCTATAATGAAGAGCAACTTAGTTTTCCATTAAACAATTCATACAACATTTTGTTTCATGACATTGATTGCAGTTCCTGCAATGTAGTATCACCCACCCCACTTCCTCCCTGCGATTCCCATTTCCATTGTCCCTCTTTCCTATCCCACCCTGACTTCTGAATTTTATCCCTGTGCAAATGCTTCCTTTTTGATCTCATATTGTTCTAAAGAGTGCATACCTCCCTGATATTATTGTTTACTTTATGTTGTTATGTGCCATCAAGTCAGATCCGACTCATAGCGACCCCTCCTTGGGTTTCTGAGGCGGTATCACTACAGAAGTAGATTGCCCAACTTTCCTTCCGAAGAGTGCCTGGTGGATTTGAACTGCCAGCCTTCTGGTTAGCAGTCATGTACCTTAGGCACTATGCTAATGGCCTTAAAATGAAAGTGAGCTCCCGTTCACTTCATAGGCCTGTCTATTCTTGGCTGAAAGTTGAGCCATGAGAGTGAGTTCAGTTCCAGGCATGAAGGGTACTAAGGGCCATAGTCTCAGGAGTTCCACCAGTCTCTATCAGACCAGTAAGTCTGGTCTTTTTCATGATTCTGAGTTTTGTTCCACGTTTTTCTCCCACTCTATCAAGGACCTTCCACTCCTTCCAAGGTGATCAGCAGAAGTAGCTGGGCACGACTTATTTCTTCTGGTGTCAGGGTTATGGAGGCTAGTGCTTACATGGTCCATTAGTCCTTTAGACTAAATGTTTCCATGTGTCTTTGATTTTCTTCGCTGTTCATTGCCCTTGATGGGGAGAGACCAATGGCTGCTGCACCTTAGATGGACACTCAAAAGGTTTTAAGACCCCAGTCACTAATCACCAAGGTAGGATGTTTTCTTTGAGGATTATGTTGTGCCAGTTGACTTTAGTGTCACCTGAGACATAATCCTGAGTCTCCAGGCCCAGCGATTCATTCCTTCTAGTTGTTTGTTTATGGCTAAGCAGCTTTCATAACTTTGCCCCTGTATGCTCCATTTTACTTATCGATATATTTGCAGCACATATAAATACATATGTAGAAAAACCCTCTCTGAAACCTAGATATATTTGTGTATATAGTCCCATTCACCTTCCCATATCTGTAAGAACATTCTTGTTTTTGTTGGCATATGTTTTCATTTCTTTTAGGCAAATATCTAGGAGTTGAAGAGCTATGTAGGTATATTTTAACTTTATGAGAAACTGCCAAACAGTTTTCCAAAGTGATTGTATCATTTGCAATACTACCAGTAATGTATGGGATTTCTAATTGTTCTACATTTCTGCCAACATTTGGTGTTTTCAATGATTTTAATTTTAGTCCTTCTAAAGTGTGGGAAAGGAGCTCTGGTAGTGTAGTGCCTAAGGCACTTGACTGCTAACCAGAAGGCTGGTGGTTCAAACCCACCAGCCACTCCTCGGAAGGAAGGTTGGGCAATCCTACTTCCGTAGTGATACTGCCTCGGAAACCCAAGGAGGGGTTGCTATGAGTCGGGGCCAACTCAATACTCAACTGCTAACCTAAATGTTGGAGGTTCAAATCCACCCAGTGGCTCCCTCAAACCCACCAGCCACTCCTCGGAAGGAAGGTTGGGCAATCCTACTTCCGTAGTGATACTGCCTCGGAAACCCAAGGAGGGGTTGCTATGAGTCGGGGCCAACTCAATACTCAACTGCTAACCTAAATGTTGGAGGTTCAAATCCACCCAGTGGCTCCCAGGAGAAAGACATGGTAATAAAGATTATAGTCCAGGAAACCTTATGGGACAGTTCTACTCTATTACATGGGGTCACTGTGAATCAAAATTGACTTCATGGCACCTAACAATAAAAGGTTAGAAGCAGTATGTTATTTGTGGGTTTAATTTGCATATCCCTGATGAATAATGGTTTTGAACACTTTTACATGTATTTAGTGTTTGCATATCTTCATTTTTTAAGTGTCTAAAGATTTTTCCCCATTTTTGTTCTATAGATGATACTATATGGACATATATTGAAGAGAACTGACATTCACTTTATAATATATAATAAAACTAAAACCAAAGTCACTGCCAGAGTTGATGCCAACTCATAGTGGTCCCCATTTGGGTTTCCAAGGCTGTAAATGTTCACGGAAGCAGACTGTCTCATCTTTCTTCCATGGACCACCTGGTGGATTCGAACCACTGACCTTTTTGGTTGGCAACCAAATGCCTTAACCACTACACCACCAGAGTGCCTCATAATATATGTTGTTGTTATGTGCCGTCGAGTCGGCCCCGACTCATAGCGACCCCTTCTTGGGTTTCCGAGGCAGTATCACTACGGAAGTAGGATTGCCCA